ATTTTCTTTTGAAAAATATTATAAAATTGATCGAAGAAGCAATTTTATATAATAAGCAAATTGAATTTGTTTTAATTCACTTATCTTGATTAAAGTATTAAACTTACCAGGATTCAGAATATATTTTAAATAATCTTAATGCTTGCGATGAACTTATGATAGATTTGCGAGTATAAACTTTTGAAATACTTGAAACAAGTAATTATTACTTGTGTACTGTATATATTTTTCTGTGTAAAATATCTAAATTTTTTGCAGTATTACTTATTATTGCTCGAGATTTCTACGTAATTATTTTGATAACTTAACAAAATTATTTTCAGATCTGTATCCACCTAAATTTTTAGATATTTAAGCGAAATCATCCTTTCCGCGCGTGCGCGATTTTATTAGATTTTAATAAACATTTTGATTAAAAGCCTAGTATTTCGCTGTCGGCTTTAATTTCTCAGACCGTTGTGGATCGTCGAGCCCTTTGGTGTTACAAAACAGCTCGAAGCGGCATCCGCGCTGTTACCTGTCCGGTTATCTACGAGCGAGCATAGCGCGCCCGCGGGTTCGGATAAACCAATCAATAATTGATTCGTGCATGGATGCACGACGCGTAATGGAGTTAAGCGAAATGCAATGGCGTTTTAATCGAACGCATGCCACTCTCGATGTGGTGGGCGCTATCGGCCAATTAACCACCCGATTTCCGCATCTCGGCACCAGAGATCAATCGTCTGCGGATCGTGACCCTCGCGGATCTGCGATACAAACATATCTAACATTATTACACGGATAGCAAACGCTTGCCGATCTCGATCAACCCACTGACAAATATACACAAAAAGAACGGTGGCTTTGCTAGGGTATTTAAATATCTCACTAGTTCTGAAAATAATTTTTTTGAACCATCAAATAATAATTATTTATTAAGATGCTAACTCTTTGCGGCATTGTTCATTATGTTCGAGCATCCTGTGCTCAGAAAAATTTTTAGTTAAAAACGACAAACCAGAATTGATATAGCCATTCTGATCACTTCAATTAGAATTCTTAACTCAATTAGAATTGTAATAGATTTAACCAGAAAATTCTGATTTGTCCATTTTCAACCAGAATTTCAACTAGACACTTTTTCTAGTTATTATTGTGCTATAATTATTATTATGATAGCCCATTATTTTGCCTATTATTTTGATAGTCCGGTAAAATTATTTTTAGATGTATATTTACATTGTTAGATATTAAAGGAGCAATGATAACTCAATTCCTTGAGTTAAACAACATTTTATTATTCCTAACTTCCATGTGTATCAAAATGTAAATAAATTTATTTCTGAGGTTAGTTTCAAAATAAACAACGTCCACACTGAAAAAAATTCATGTAAACATTTCATGTGTACACTGAAGGAAATTGATAAAATAAATATGATTACAATTTCCAGTAAATTTCCAATCATATTTAAATAATTTTCCAATCCATAAACATGTAATTTCCAAGTAAAATTACATGAATTTTTTTTTATACAATAACGTAGGTATGCACTTAATAAATAAATGACGAACTAAATTTGAATAATAAACTAAATTTAATAAATTTTTTTAAGTTAAACTATTTAACTCCGTTTTTTTAGTTAAGTTAAAAATAATATATTCAGTAGGAGCAATAACGATTAATAGAAATAGTTCAAAATAACATTGGGTAATAATTCGACACTATAAATTTAACGGTACAGTTAAATATTGATATATGTATATATAGATACTTCGACAAAACCGTTCTATATATAGAAACGGTTACGCAGTTGCATACATTTAAAGTCATAAGATTAATAGTATTTCATTAAAAAAAAAAACAGAGTGCTTTAGGTCACTCCGTTTACGTAGCCCCGTAATTACACCGCTAATAGCCGATTGCACGCGCACGTTTAAATACCGCGTCGCCGCATCGTCTCGTATTTGTTAATATTTCACTTCCGGCTTACTATTGCGCGCGGCACCGGGTTCAAGTCAGCCGTGCGCGTTGTGTCTAAAAATAGAATATAGATATCTGCGTGGATGTGAAACCCGGGAGGAGAGTCCGCGCGTGTCCAATATTTCGCAAACAAATCTCGCGCCGAATGAAATCGCAATAGAAGGGAGTGGAAGGAAGAAAGAGACATAAAAAGCAGTTTCGATCCTGGAAAATTTTCAAATTTTCGCCGAGGATGTATCCAAAACACGAAATAAAACTTCGTTCTTCATCTCTGTGTCGTACTAATCCTCGGTTAAATACGCATCGCACGCGTTCGCCGCTATGTTCACTAGGTACGTACAGCTTTCACAGCGAGGAGCGAGGAAACCTTACGCGAGAGAACGGAGAGAGGAAAATCGGACGATGGCGAGGGAGAAAGAGAGAAAATAGGAGAGGCGAGAGTACGGCTGGAAGGGATAGCGTGTTGAAAAGATCCTGAAAAGGGGGATCCGCGGGAGAGGAGGCGAAGGGTAAAGGGTAGCTGAGGGTTGGGGGGTAGCGCAGGAAGGCCGAACGGACAATATGGCCGCCAGCGAGCGAAGGAAGCGCCGCCTGGCAACATTTTTCTGTTCCCGCCGCGAAGCAGTTTTCGACCGATGTTTTATTTGCTGACTTTTCCGATCGCGCTTAGGTTAGATCTGTTCAAATCCCGGCGAAATTGTATTGTCGATGCGGTGTGTACTGGACCTGAATTGCAAATCTCGATGTAGAGAGGAAGAAATAACGCTTGGCGCTGCTTTCGAATGATATCCTTTCACATAGGATCTGTTGCTTTCATATGTAAAAAAATGTTCTAAAAAAATAAAATTATTAATACCTCCATCTACTGGTAATCAAATTTCATACGACAAACGCCCAAACATCAGGTTTATTCTTCACGATCAGAGAGATTTAAAAAAGAAAATACTGGAAGCTTGTATAAAGATTGAGTCATGATGATTAAATATAACGAGATTCATCTCTATGGAAGTGATAGTTATAGGAATTTCAATCTACATTTGCGGCAAAACATTTTATATCGACATTTAACTTTCTTGCTTTTCCTTCCCAAAGTTACTTAGAAAAACTTAATTTTATCCTGATTAAAATGACTTGATAAAACTCTATTAATACAGAAGGCTCCACTAAACTTGAAAAGAAAAACATTTGTGATAAATAAAGTAGAAACTTTGACCTAAGAAATAATAATAATAATTTTATAACAAAAAAAATAAACAGATGAATATAAATATAAACATCTATCTGTTATTCTTACTTTAACATGAAGAATAGAGGCACATCTGTGTCAGTATACTCTCTAAATTCTTTACAGTAAAATCTCACTCTGAGTAAGAGTGAAAAGTGAGTCAGTTTTGAAAAAAAAAAAACAAAACCAGCTCAATTTTCAATCTTTAAGAGTGCGATGACTTACTGCTTCGAGTGAGAGATTCACTCAAAAAATTTTAGAGTATTCTTTAAAAAAAATTACAAAGTAACAATTCAAGATTTCAAAACATTTGATATCACTCTGAGTGAAATTTAAACCAGTCTTAAAAAAGAATAATTCAATTTTCAATCTTTAAAAGTGAGATTTCACACTTCACAGTGAGATTCACTCTGAAAGTGTTCTAGAGAGTATCCTTAAAAAAAAAAAAATTATAAAGTAACCATTTGAGATGCGAATATTTGATACAAATTGCATAGCTGACAAAATTTAAAGGAGCCTAAAATTTTTTTCTTTGGAAAAATCAATCGCCTAAATCGGTCCGACTTGAAAAACACGTGCGTGATTGAGAAAACATATTTTACGATCGCAGGAAACGAGCCGTGGAGTTTCGCAGCGATGTGTGTGCGCTTGACCTGCCCTCGCTCACCATTTTACCAGCCATTGTTGCCACCATCTGAGACGAAAAATTGCGTTATGCACAAATTAGATGCCCGATGAATATTTCTCACCGATTTCACGGCAATCCGACGCGACGTACGTTTTCGTCTTCGTTCCCATTTGAATCAGAACAAGAAAGACCAGGAATCCACGTCGGGCTGCCCGTCTTTCATCTCGGGAGAGATATAACTTTTTTTTGGTTAAGTACGACGAACGACGGACTCATCCGCTCCTCGAAGCAATTCCGCAGACACTCACGTGTTTTTTCAGTCAGAGAATAGAACGATTGATGAAACAACGCGATATGCGGCTCTAAACATTACTAAGACGAAGAAAATGTGAACAAATTTAAGAAACTACGATGATCGACGACGACGATCGTTGTCGGCCAACGAGGACGGGAATCGTCCTCGACGGTCGTAGAATTGCCATTTCTCGATAAATTTCCGCAATCCGAAACACCACCGCGTCGCCGAACCGATTTGCGGCCCGGAAAAGCGTCGCTTACCTTAATGTGACAGGAATACAGAAGCTCGCTCGTAGCTCGGATGTAAACACAGGCATTTTTCTGCGGAAATGACACTGAGGCAGCCAAAACGACGTGCGTCTGAACACCGTTTACATCGCGGTCGACGCCGATGCGTCGCGCAGAGCGGTCCTGCGTTATTAAATACCGCGGTAAACACGGGAATTCGGTCTCTCCACGGAAAACATCAATCGAAAACTAGAGATGGCAGCCATTACTTTTGTACAAAACAAAGGTCCACATCCACGGACTCGCGAGCGAGCGAGTCTCGAACCCAGCGTCTTTCTGGCGCTCACGATGCGGCGCTTAATTCAAATCGGTCGAGTCGATTTCCGCATCGATACCGTTCCGCCGTCATTTTCTCGTCTGCAATTACGATCGTCGAAATTTGTACGGCGCAAAATTAACCGTGAGACGCGCTATATGACGAAATCGAGATAATTAATTAGAGCGTGCAAATTCACCGAAGGACAAACGCCTGACTGGGCCGAAGTTAACCACGATTGCGGGAAGATGTCGCGCCGCTCGCGCGCGGCGCCATCTGTCGGCGAGCGCGGCAAGCGCGAACGCCGTGCGCTGCCAACGTCAGGGAGCTAAACTGCGTCGCGCTACGCCGAACCTGACCGAGCCTGAACCAAGCTGAGCCGAGCACAACCGAGCCATTCCGAGCGGATGGCCTCGGCAGGATTCGGCGTGTAAACCGAAGATCCACGATCGCGATCTCGAATTTTTCGTCGACCTCCCGAAAGTGGCCGAAAGTCGCGCGAATCCTCCGCCATCGTTCACCACTGTCGCGGCACTCGCGGCCGCTTAGGCGGCTTAGGTTCCATGAAACGTCACGATTACTGTGACGGGACTACAGTGGCTGGGAAGGACGTGCATACATATGTTTATGAACGTTCTAATGTTGGTACTATCTGTCGCTACACGCGAGAGAATACGAGGCGACGATCTTCGCCGGTCACTGTCGTTTATTGATTTCCTGGCTTTATAGAGATATATATTTCTCGCATAAATACCGCGAGATACGATGTGCCGGCGTGATTGAACAGGTACTTGTCGCTCGAGGACTCTCGTTTTGATGGAGTCCGCAGAAAGTTCTTTGCGCGAGAAAAGGAAGACAGGAAAGGCAGGATTGTTTTTCGTGCGAAAACTGCTTGGAGCAAAAGAATGAAATGCCATTAGAAAAAAAAAGAAAAAAGAACCGAGAAAATAATTCGTCAAGCCCGAACATAAATTTATGAATGAACAGGTTTCAAATGATTATACGCTTCCGCGATTTTTGTGGGGATGTGACGTACTTCGCGGAATTGAAATAATTGAATTCCATCGCGTGGATTGACGGTTTGTTATGCAAATTGTTCGAGAGAAAAACATGACTATACATGTTTGTTCGCTCAGATACGCACATTAATCTGTTATTGTTAGTCTGTTTTTTGTAGCTAAACTAGTACTCCTTACACATACTTAAAATGAAATCAGTATATGCCCACAAAACACATTACAATAACAATGCATTATTATATAATTTATACTTAACAATGTAGAATTAAAATATAACAGTTATATGCATTTAAATTTAAAATTTTTATTATTATGTTCCAAATTAAAATCCAATTGATAACATATATATTCTTGTAAAGTAGTAACAATTGTTATATCATTACTTATGTCTCTTTAACAACACTATTCTTAACCTTGATACTCTTAACCTTTGTTATATCAACAATATGACTCATGTATATGTTATCGGTTATATTATTGATATAATGTTACTGTTTTGTGTTCTGCAAGTATTCAAGATTTGACAAAAACGAATCCTACTTTAATAATAAAGACTAAACTTCTTAGAAACCTATGTTATTGTTTCTTTTAATTATAATAAATTTATGTTCTATTGATGTGTTGTAGATAAAAGCCCATGTGCTTTTTTATATTTAGAGATGGCTGACGCGGATCCACAATTTAAACGCCTTTTACTGCCAGCAGAGGAAACTCTATTTGAACAGTTGCTGAGATTCGGCCTTTATGTAGGTGCAGTATTCCAAATCATGTGCTTGTTAGCTATAGTCGTGTATCAGGCTGGTCCATCCGACGGTGTGGCAGCTCTAAAGGTACCTTCTAGTTATTGCAGACTGTTAAGACAATGGTTTTCTTGCAGCAATAATTCTTGTCATTGTAGGATGACCCAAGTGATGTTGAATGTTCCGAAAACAGTCCTCAAGTGACACCAAGAAGACCTCATCGGCCACGGAAGCAGGAAAAAAAGAAAAGGCGTTGAATTGTTTACATTTCCTGTGACATTACTTTGATATTAATCTCATAATCTTACATCAGATGTTTTCCATTTGGTGACACAAGTTTTGTCTCTATTACTCATGAAACGTAAAAAAAAATAGGACGACATTTGTATCGACTATATTCATTAAATGAAAAACCATCAATTAATTTATTTTCATAATTCAAGATTCTTGAAAACTGGATTTTTAGAATAAGTCTTCAGTTTGTTTTCATCTAAGTTATTTACTAAATGGTCATTTTATAATACAATGCCAATCTGTAAAATATAATTTCATCCTATTTTTTAAGCATGGAGATATATCTACTTCAACCTCACGTATAACCATTGTAAAATCATTATTTCTACGTAATATTTTATAAAAGAAAAAAATTATTGTCTTTCATATAATTTGCAAGAAAGATTTTTGCAATACAAATGATTTTCCAAAAAAAAAGATGTGTTAAATATTCTATTTTTCAAACATGAAACTTCTCTCAATTTCATGTATGTACATTAATTGTAAAAACGTTATCTACTTAATATTTCATAAGAGAAGAAATAACTTTCTTATATAAAATTCTTATATAAATCTATTCTTTCTCATTTAAATTATATATAAAATTCGCAAAGATAATTTTTGGAATAAAAATATGCTTTCAAAAAGAAAGATGTCTGAAGACTTCATCGAAGAGTTCCTTTTAGAATAGGCAATTTTAAGACCATCCTGTATTACAATGCAACTACCTGAGACGGTCACAACATAACCTTTCAACTCCTGTAATTGCAACATAACCTCTCATACACCTGTCATATACCATAACCTCTTAATTAAGAAAAGCCACGGCTCATCGATGCGATGAATTTACGTTGATTTGACTGGAAATGCGGACATAATTGGACGATGCTTTGTATCTGAAGCATTATTACTAATAATTCGTCAAAAATGCTGCATAATACGGCGACTTTATCGCCTCAGGACATTTTAACTGAGGTTAGAAAATTTATCTCCGGTGCCATCCGGCCTGCCCATAGCACAAACACGCAAGATGTAACCCGTACGGCATTATCTTTGTTGAAAAATGTACCCGCAGCGAGGGAAGCTGTGCTTGAATATTTTTGTAATGTATTTTTTGTCGCTGTAACAAAATATGTTCGTCAGATCGAGGTATGTAATCGCATTGTATTCTTAACTCATTCGCCCTTTTACATAGCATTTCAATATGATTAAAACAATATCGATAATTCATACTCATAATCTTTATAGTCAAATCAGAATATATCGATACCTGAAGAGAGCATTATAGCAGAAATTCATGCTATCTTGAGCAGTTTCGTCAATGGAAATCCAGAAGCATGGGCGCCTATCATATCAGCATGGTCGTTGGACTTACTAGGTATATATATATAAAATTTAATTTATATTTAGTTATATATATATATCTATATATTTAAATATTAAATATGTATAAATACTAAATATAACTATAAATAGTTTTATATATATTTAACTAAATACATATTTTATTTTATTTAGTTTTATACATATTTTATTTAGTACAAAATCCATTTCTGCAATGTACAAAGTAAGCTCCTTCCACAGGCAAACTGTCCTCGGACTATTCAAAGCGCGGCAATTTACCTGTCAATGCAGGCATCAATGATTTTATGCAACAATGGATGTCGTGCCGTGCAACAAGGACTTTAATAGACATTACGGCCCAATGTCTGCAGTGTCTTATGCATTCCGATACGGAGTCTTGTATCAAGGCATTATTAGACACCAGTGTGATACACAGTCCATATTTCGATTGGGTCGTTGCTCATGTAGGAAGCTGCTTTCCAAACACTGTGATCACAAGAGTATTATCGTGCGGATTAAAAGACTTCTGTGCCATGGGCTATGAACATAACGTTAAGAATCCAAAGTTAAATTCTGTTGTCGGTATATTGGGACATTTAGCTGGTAGCCATTTTCAAGATATTAGAAAAGCGCTGTTAGACTTGTTTGAGGTAAGCTTATTATATAAGTTGTATGGTATATGTATTTCTAATTTAAGTTATATTATATATTTGAATAATTTATTTCTTAGTGGAGTTTGGAAGAAGATCTAAGTCTTGACGAAGATACCAAAAAGCAGAAACTAGCCACTATACCATTTCTTTTGAATTTGGCTTCACTTTCTCAGACTCTTTTGAAAGCAATAACTAGCGATGTGTTACAAATATGTATGTTTTTTAAATAGAAATTACATTTAAAGTAAACCTAATGTTATAATTACAATTAAATATAGCTATAAAATAATGTTTGTTGTAGTGAAATCAGACGTCATACCACGACTGGCATTGTTTGCAGCAGATTGGTGTAAATACTTTGATAATCAACCAGCGGCCTTAATGGACTTGACAGTACACTTAATATTAGGATGCGAGCAAGGCGCATCACAAATAATCAATGTACTACTAGATATAAGTTTAAATACGAGCAATGTTGGCTATCACAGCGTTAATGCGGCGCAAAATGTGAAAAATATTTGTCGAGAGATATTAGAATTGATTCTACAGGAGATTGACCTCTTATTGAGAACGCATGGACCGCAATCCGCGAATATTCATCTGCTGAGTTCTATCAAACACGAGATATCGTTGATAGTACCAATGCTGCTAAATCCAAATCCACTGCGTGTGCAAACGGCTGTCAGACTGTTATGTTTTCTCAGAAGTCAAAATCCGAACATAGTTGTCTCCACAGTATCCTACATGCTGATGAAGGTGCAAACAATGTTCCATCTTGCGGCCTTAATACGTCTTATCACTAATAATGTTGTACAGTTCCCTACGAGTAAATCCGTAACTGAAAATATGCTTGCTGGTCACGATTACTTTACGCAGGTCTTGGAGCAAGCACTCAGAGAAATACACTATAAAAACGTGATAGAAAAGGAGGAATCAAAACAGTTATTCAAAAATCTTATTCTGATGTTAAAGCAAGTGTCAACAGTTTAAAATAATTAAATATTTTATAGTTTAATTTAATAATTGGTGTCTTTCTATTCTACTTAGATGGGAAAAATCAAATAAGGTGGAGATATTGCAGTCACAAATGATTAGCAGAGCCCTCAGAGCTAATTTATATCAAATATCTTGTTTATTGATGAGAAGCGATGATTTTGATTTGGCGAATGATATCATTACTCTTTTGGATCTGTTAAGCACATCCGAAAAAGATTATATTCTCGATATAGAACTTATGCTGAAATTAACGAGGGCGATCATACAGTATTTCTTTTTATGCATTGCTCAAACTGGTAATTGGAATTCTATAAAAAGTTTTATATTTTTATAAGTAACAAAGTGTATGATAATGCAATTTTTTTAGATATTATAAAAAAAGAACAAGGAGTAAAGATGGTATGTCATTTACTGAAAGATTTAACATGTCATTCTACGTCCGCACGTGTATTGGCTCTCAGAGAGATACTAGGAAATAGTATCAATAATGAGCAGGCCAAATACTTTGGCGCTAAGGAGAAATTCGAGCCTCATTTTGAAGAGATGTTATTATTACATCAGAATCATAAACAGGTATAAAAGTATGATAAAAGTACATTTAAAATATGCAGAATATGTTTTGATACATAATCTCATCCTAGGTGACAAGTACCATGTTAGCGCAGCGACATTCATCGGTATTTCACGCTGGTGTGATAGGACATGGTCCACGAAGACTTCCGCCGGAAAATTCGATCGATAAGGAAATCATTATTTTAAACAAAATTTTGCTAATAGATGTTATAAAGGTAAAGAATCCGATAAAGAATTCATTTTTAGTAAATCTCTAAATTTTATATTAAATACTCTAACATTCAATTCGAATTACTTTTCAGGCTTGTTGCAGCAATCAGGAATCAGATCGATATTCAATTAACTTGGATGCTCTGACAATGGTCAGCTTGTTGTTAGTTGAATTGGTATCGCCTGATGTTATGTACAATGGTCTACCGTGGCCTGACGAGGAATTTACAAAGGTATTATTTATGTTAATTGTTAATATGTTAATTTTCAATTAGTTATACAATTAACTTATTGATTTTTTCATAATTAACTTTTTAATTGGAGGTTTTTCTCTGAGAACCGATACAGTACCGAGATTTATTTAACTTCAGATACTTTTGGATTAAATTTATGTTTTATCAACTTTGTTTCTGTCAGAGTAGAATATTTTTCCTAAATTTTCCCAATATTAAAGAATGGCAACAAGAGTTCAAGATTTATTAAATTTAATGAACTAACCGAATCTTTCATTAACAAACAATTATAACATTGAGCTATGCATCATCTCTAGCTGGTTAATTTAATTTTTAATTACTGCAGGTCACAATAGAAAGAGATTTACAAATCCGTCGCAAATTCAAGGATGTTCCTCTGTTGTGGACATTGTTAGAATTGACTGCTTGGTATAGGCCGGCATTAGCATATTGTTCCGTTTTACTGAGAGGCATTACCGCAACTGTCATGGCTAATTGGAATACAGAGGAGGGCGTTTCGCTTGTCAATATAATGGCACTTGGTCAATTATTACCACCGCCGCTGGCGAGTATTAGGGACATTCTATCTGTTTTACAACCTCACCAGGTATGTTTTTATTTTTCTACAACATTATTTCAATTAAATTCATACATTCTAATTTTTTTTATCTCGCAAATGGTTCTGATTGCAGATAAATACAATAATGAGGGAATGTTTGTGGGCGTACATGCGTGAAAATGTGCCATCTCCAGCGCTATTTACGCGAAACGAAGGTACCAATATAGCCTGGAGAGATATCGATATGTCGTCGCCCAATGCACGTTTTACAGATACTCTTCGTTTAGTATTATTGGCAAATATTCACACTTTAGGGTCTCTGTATTCAACATTATTTTACAATGAAAATAAATAATATAAAATGCAATATAATATATATATATTTTTAAAACAATATTTAAATTATTTTTAATTGTATACGTTTTGTAAATACTAGCAATCGCACTTGACAGTAATAATATATATAAAATTTGATATAAATAATCAAAATTGTATTATTCATATCCTCTTTTTTTCTATTTTTTTTACTTTTATAATACATACTTATATATAAGTAATTTCTCATAT